AGGGGGGGCGGGACACTTTTCGTTTTAAGTGTATCGAAGTTGCGAGTGGTGCCTCCCTTGTTGAACCGCGTGTTCCGTTGAGTTGGCTGTGTTGTGACGTACGTCCTTTAAGGTTTGATTCTCGTTTCTTGGTCCTTTTGGGGGTTTGTCTGGGCGGGGCTGTCTGTGTACCTCTTTCGGTCAGCGGTGTACTGTACCTCTTCTCGGCCAACCAACCACGTGTGGAGATGATCTCTGATTTGTTTCGAAATTTTGGTAGTGATATACTGTATACGATATGCGGGCTGCTTGGGGGCGGAACCTTGCGGGACTAGGAGAGGGGAGGATGACTGGGGGTAGACGGGGTGGGGGGTGGGGGGGGTATTCGGGAACTTGATTGCTGGAGGCGGGGTGCTGATTGCAGGGAACCTGGGCGTGACACAATTAGGGGGCTAAGAAAAGGGTGTTGCCCTGGAATTGAAACTAATAGTATCGTCCTCAAAACATAGATCGATGAGATGAGAAAGACAAACATGTACGTCTGAGCGCAAGCGCGCTGATACGAACGGTGTTCTACCCCATGCATCTCTCTGGCAAGGCAGTGCGAAGCTGTAGCTCCGTTATCATCATCACGTTGTTGTGGATTTTCCGACTGAGATCGGCGATACGCACGTGGTGGCAGCTCTGTCCCTCTTCCAAGCATTCATGAGTTATCCTGCCGGCTCATGTGGCATCGATGCGAGAAGTTCGGCATACATCAGGTGGTACACATGCTGTAGATGATGTACTCGCCGTCAAGTCTACCAACACCTTTTCCTCGCTCTGTAGAGTATGGTTTTCCTTTACCCCTAACAGCCCTCTCGATCGCACCACGTTGTGTTAAAATGGTCAAGCACCCTCGAGGCAGTTACACAGTGCTTACAACTGTCTCTGGAAGTGAAAGCACCAGAAAATAAATTAAGTCATACGCAGCTGTCATCCGTACGCAAGGAAGTAAGCACAAGATGCCGAACACCCTTAGCAGGATGCAGCGCACCCTTCATGCGACTCGCCGAATATCTCACGGCGCTTCGCGCTTGGTGATGTGAGAGCCTGGTCCGGTGAGATCCGGCGTGCTCCGTCCCGGCTTTGTAGGGATGCGAGGTCAATGGTCTAACGACTACGGCATGCACAACTATGAGTACACCCCCCCTAACAGCCCTCTCGCTCAACACTAGACTCCCAGTGCATAGATACAGAAAATATCGGCGGTAGCGGACAAGAGATCGTGTGCCACCGTGGAACATAGGACGAGAGTCTGGCCCACTCCGTCCTCATGTGTTCGAACAAATACAGTACGACTGCTGTACTGCTGTACTGCTCGACTGCTGTACTGCTGTGCATGCAGGAGAAATGCACGCGAAAGGGCCATGCGAAGATCGTAGGCCCTGCTGCTTGGCTTGACTATCCCACCGCCTCCCTCCCCCAAAACAGTTGGAAACAATTTTCGCTTGCTCTACAGCAAAACACTCCAATGTCTCATGCATAACATCGTAGCACCGACATAAGTTTTTTTACCTCTCCAAGCAAGAGCGAGAAACGTGTGTGCCACGCAAAAAAATTGAACCTGCACCCTGAACATGCCGATGACCTCATTGCGTGTTGGCATCGTCATGCTGCACAGACTCTGGACGGCTCGCCGAAAGCTCGATCGATGGTCTTATTGGCCGCCTCTCTCTCTCTCCCTCTCTCTCTCTCTCCCTCTCTCTCTCTCAATCTATGTATCTCTCTATCCATCTATCTCTCCCCCTACTTCTTTTTCTGTACTCTCCTTACAAGCACGAGTATGGATGTGCCTCCTTTTCTCCTGCGATAATGCTGTTTGATTGAATTCTGTTCAAAATACGCGCAGCATTTACTTTGTACGGAGCGCACGATGCTGTCACTGGTGCTGGTGCCGCTGGCAGCTGGCCGATGGCACTACCGCTGCGCCCGCCGCTGTCCTTGCCTTCTCCACATACTTGCCGCGCCCGTTGTTCGCAGATGCCGCGAGAGTGTTTACGCCTCCACCCCCCCCCCCCCCCCCCCCCCCCCCCCCCCCCCCCCCCCCCCCCCCCCCCCCCCCCCCCCCCCCCCCCCCCCCCCCCCCCCCC